ACATCACACGGAGAACAGCGAAGGACTTAATATAACATGTTTAACATAGTTAATTTTAGTAATAACCGCGACTGCGTGCGCATGCATGGCAGGTTTATGCTCAAAATCTATGAAAATAAACCGCGCACTGAAATTCACGAGCTGAGTGGCCATTTATGCAGGTTTAGTATCTATATATACACTTATATATGTGTATAATTATATAGTATATGTACTATATATACTATATGTGCTGTTATATATCCTGGGATGTCTATGAGTTATACACGTGCCTCCGTAGTGGAATAATTAGCTGTGGCATGTATACCAGATGTTTTAACAGCATATAACTGCGCTTAAATATACAATCAATCAGTGCTTTAGATATATATACACCGTCTGTTTCTCTAAAGAAGAAAATATCGTCACATTACTAGTCGTTTCAAAACGTAAATCATCCCAAAATAATTGTCGATGAAATTGAACTCGTTTGTTTTATGGTTTGAAGGATGGGCTGTCGTTTCTGTCTAAAGGAATTCTACTGGAGCGAGAAATCAAAGCTTAGCTCTACTTCCTACATGTTGGAAAGGTCACCGCGGGGTGAAGTCTGAGCGAATGCAATCAGTAACAAGAACTTGCTATTTCATGCTCCTTTGAATAAAATAATGAAAACAGAAAACCAGTAAACACGGCTCAGAGAATATCCTGCAAAACAAAACCTGCTTGTTGACCACCCTCAGTATATATATATATATATATATATATATATAATATATATATTATATATATACTATATATATATATTTCATGTTTCGGCTTACGGTAATTATTTCCACTACTGCCAATGTTGTCGGAGTCCTCGAGGAACAAATACTAAGGGACTTTTTGTACGGTTTTTTGAACAACTTTAGACAACCGACAGCCATAAGACATATCAAATAACACAAGCTATTGCATCAGGCGCGTTTTCCCATACGCCAAGACATAAAACTCAAAACTCATCATGCAGTAATCATATGTATGAACACTCTAATAATCTGTTGGATCTCTAAGGCTTACTGGGTTTCCACAAGATTAAAATTAAATGCGATGTAAGTATATGACAAAACTCGCACGCTATTGGATTTTAACAGCCTCATTATATCAGTGATAATGTTCTATATTCACGACTGGATGCCACACAAACTTAATTTCCATCGTTTTATTTTTCCCAACAGAAGCGTTAATGAAAATGTCAATGACACTGTAGCTCACCTTGGGTGTGATAGAAGAGGCTAGGGGGGATATATAAAGCAGCCAGATATATGGAGAACTACCATTATATAGCCATATCTCCACATTATATACTCTTGATAATCGATATATGCATAAGTTTTGACTGTGGAAAATAAATGTTTTCAGATATGAAAGTCTGACAACTTTGACGAGAGATGGTGCTACGCCTAAAATGATCGGGCCATTTTGGTTTTCGAATATCCGCAAATAAAAACAATAAAATATTCCAGGTCAAATTACTGTAATAAAGAATCCTAAAACACAATATTACAGCGTATATAATTAATGATTGTAGCAGTTGCTTAAAACCATTAGACAAATAAACGTAATAGGATGTTGTCAATCCTCTCCATAGGAGCATAACACACTGCCTGCTGGCCATTTTGAAACATGTCGGGCTCAGAACGGCTTTCCTGAATTATCGTTGGACCGTAGGCCCAATGTTTGAAGACGGACGGACGACACCCCATGGCAATAGCTCATCTTGACGATGTCAAGGCGAGCTAAAAACCACTGAGTGGTGTCCATCCGTCGTCACTCCATCTCAAAGCAAGAGCGTGAAATGTTTGGTAATTTTATAGTGTGAATGTGATGCGAGGTCGTGTATGTGGTTGGTCGGTAGCGTAGGGACTGAAGGCTACCTAGGGGCATGATTATCACAAACTCTCTGTTAGTCCAGCATATGACAGTTGCATGGGGATATGAAAATGATAGTCATTTAGGCTACCATGGTAGGGTGGTTATACAGTGAACGGGTTGGAAGAGAGGGAGCGTGGCTGGTAGGTGGGGTGGTTATAGAATGGATGGTTTGTGGAGAGAGCATGTTGGTAGGTTGGGTGGTTATAGAATGGATGGTTTGTGAAGAAGCGAGCATGATTGGTAGGTTGGGTGGTTATAGAATGGATGGGTTGTGAGGGAGAGAGCATGGTTGGTCGGTTGGGTGGTTATAGAACGGATGGTTTGTGGAGAGAGGATGGTTGGTAGGTTGGGTGGTTATAGAATGGATGGGTTGTGAGGGACAGAGGCTCACAGAGCGTGCGTGGTTGGTAGGTTGGGTGGTTATAGTGAATGGATGGTTTGTGTGAGAGGGAGCGTAGTTGGTAGGTGAGGTGGTTATAGAATGGATGGTTTGTGGGAGAGAGAGAGAGCGTAGTTGGTAGGTGGGATGGTTATAATATAGTGAATGGGCTGAGATGGAAGGAGAGATTGTGGTTGGTAGGTGGGGTGGTTATAGGGTGAATGGGTTGTGAAGGAGTGTGAGTGGTTGGTAGGTGGGGAATGGGTTGAGATAGAGGTAGTGGGCGTGGTTGGTAGGTGGGGAATGGGTTGAGATAGAGGTAGTGGGCGTGGTTGGTAGGTGGGGAATGTGTTGAGATAGAGGTAGTGGGCGTGGTTGGTAGGTGGGGAATGGGTTGAGATAGAGGTAGTGGACGTGGTTGGTAGGTGAGGTAGGTAACACACACGTACCTCCTGGTCGGGGAATGATCATCATCATCCATGTACTGGTCTAATCCTTTCCACAACATAAGTCCGGAGCAGGACCTCGCGAGAGATCGCACGTCCTCAGGTGACGTACACGTGTCAGACATCGTGGCCACCTGTACACACTCACCCAGCCACCCAGCGACAAGTTACCGTCTCGCTTCTCACTACGTAGCGTTCCTACGACGTGAAACAGTCGTAGAGCCTGGTCGGTCTACCATGCAGCCACACTATGGTCTCACGCCACCACCACCAGCACACACACGCGCCGTACACTGAACACGGACCTCCCCACAGCGTCAATAACAGCCGCCCGGCAACCAACACCCGCTACGTCCTCCGCACTCACTGTGCGCACGTTATATTAACTCTCTGCCACCAGACGTCTCGTGCGGACACTCATCCGCTAATGTAACGGTATTATAAACAGCAGCAGCCAACACGCTGCAGCCACTACTGATCGTCGGGCGAATGCGACGTGAGATGCAGGCGGCGCGTGCGTGTGCGCCTACTTATGCTCGCGTCGGTTAGCGCAGCAATATGCTGAGCGTGAGAGCGCGTGCGCGTACGCGCAATGTGCACCACTCAAAGATGCCTGCGCCGCCGGTGTTTAGTATATCCTCTCTACTTCTTACTTCTATACTGGAAGCTTCTATTATTTTTTAGCAAGTTCATCAGGTAGAACCTTGCAATGAAAGGGCAAAACTCCTTAATTGCGGATGGGTGAAAACGTCTAAAAAACTAGTCGGCCTTCGTACATTCCGTGGGGCAACGAAACTTTAGTTGGAGCTGGATGTAAATATAGGCACACACTGCCGGGGGGCAGCTATGCAGTTTTAGGTGCGAAGCGGAAAGAAATCACTACTAACTGCACAGATTTCGAGGCTGGGCGTTACGCGGCTAGCCTACTCTTCCCCCAG